CTCCTTAGATCAGGAGGGCCACCACCTGTATCAATGCAAAATCAAAATAGAGGCTTGCCAACTCAGGAAAGTTATACCGAGGCAATCATAAATCTCTCAACTCTACCTTTACAAGGGCCTGCAACAACGCCTTAGCTTAATCATGTCGTCTTAGCGCAGCGACAAGAATCTTGACAACTATGCCACCAACGGAGGGTGCATTAATCGCCCGGAACCGTCATCTTCTACCTCTAGTGGAAGTCCTTTGATGTCTTATTAAGCGTACATTTTCCATTAAGCGTACAATTCAGTATCACCTATCGTGGTAGAAATCTCTGCTCTAGACTAGCTTTTGAGCGATAGGAACGTAAGCCGTGCCATTCACGGTTTTAAACCTTATGACCTATGCGAAAAAGATACACACTGAAAGGTGGAATACTCCGACCGCTTCTGTGGAACATAGCAGTCAATAGCCTGCTCCCGGTTAGTTATTTTCTCCAGGAAATATGGCATTACCTTCCCTATGTGGAAAGCCGCTTAGAGACAAGGCTAAATAACTTAAACTTATCCTTGATTTGGAGCTCGACTAGAACCTCAGAAGAGACGATCGGTTGCGGAAAACTGGGACTACTAATATTAATGCGCATGTATAATGCGGTGATCCCCCCGATACTCCTGTATGGGGTCTCGATCTGGTTGTCCGCCTTGTCAAAGAAAAATGCTTAGGTAAGCCAAGAAGGACTCAATGCATGGCTAAAGTCTGCATGTCAGGCAGTCTGCGAATGATCCCTGGATGCACTGGAGTCTACCCTTCCCATTGAAATAATAAGAAAGCAGGTCGGGAATCTCTCGACGTTCAGAATTAGTGCCGGAGCCTTTGGAATAATTTCTGCCACGTCCATATCAGGATCGGGATGGAAAACATTACTCACACAGAGGGGGCAGACTACTGTACACCTCGGCCATATCACAAACCCCTTCCCCGTCACTATTCTCCTTAGAGAGAAATGGACCAGCACACTGACTCCATTGAATGTGAAATGACCGTGGAATTGAGATTTAACGAAACAAATATACATACGTTTTTTTTTAAATATTCCTAAGAAACGCTAGGGTGTCCCGACTATTGAATACTATTACTCTGTTAACCAATTTCTAACTAAATATGGCTCCAGCAGTTATATTTGCAAGCTTTATCTGTTCTGGAAAACATATCTGATGCATATTTTACTGCTTGCGATGACGTCCCTGAAATAATTGTTCATTAAAACGCATCTCAACTCAGCCCTACAAATATTAAAGGGAGCTTTTCACTCGACTCCCACATATAACCTCTACCTAGAATCAAACATCCAAACAATAGAAAGCAAAACAGAGTTCTTAAAAACAAAGGCTATACACACCATTATGTACGTCAATGACACTCCACTCAATCAAATCATTTACCGTGCTTGCAAGAACCAAAGTAAAAATACCGATCTTTTGCGATCAACCAATGCATCAATATCATTGACAACTTTTATTTTATCTACATAAGCCCAAATCAACAGTAAACAGACACTCAATTAGGTAGGGTTTTAAAATCTACCAATATATAACCTTGCAACTGTTACAAAAATTATATTAGAAACAAGCAATATACGTTGAGTATGTTAAGAAACAACGAAGCTATAATTTTATTTCCTTGATTGATCCTATAGGAGGATTATGATACAGCCCGTTCCGTCTTTAAAACCATAAAGACGGACGCATGGATAGTCGGGCGAAAAGGCGGACATGGATAGTGGGTTCGCCTGGTGATGCTGATACCCTTGCAAAGGGTATTATAATTTTAGTCAAAAGTTTGCAACGCAGTGAAGGAGACATTTCAGACCCTATAAAGTATATATATTCTTGATCAGCATCACCAGGAGAGTCGATATAGCCATGTCCGTCTGTTTAAAGCTATCTGCTTGAAACTTTCCCAAAATATGTATTTCTATAACAGGTAGTATATAAGTCGGAACGAGCCGGATCGGGCGACTATATCATATAGCTCCCAAAGGAACAATCGGAAAAAAATAAAAAAAAAATATACCTTTGTTGTTATACCCTTGCAGAGGGTATTATAATTTTGGTCAAAAGTGTGCAACGCAGTGAAGGAGACATCTCCGACCCTATAAAGTATATATATTCTTGATCAGGATCACCTCCTGAGTTGATATAGCCATGTCCGTCTGTCTGTCCGTCTGTCTGTTTCTACGCCAACTAGTCTCTCAGTTTTAAAGATATCGAATTGAAACTTTGCACACACCTTTCGATCCTTTGCACGCAGTCGCAACGGCCGGGATCGGCCGACTATATACTATAGCCGCCGTATAACTGATTGATCGGAAATGCCATAACTTTGGTGTTTGTAAAGTTAGGAAGTTGGGATTTTCTATGGGTTTTATTTTTGGCCAATCAATCCGACCTACCAATTCATAAGGATCGGCCGACTATATCCTATAGCCACCATATAACTGAACGATTGGAAATGCCATAACTTTGGTGTTTTTAAAGTTAGGAAGTTGTGATTTTTTGTGAGTATTTGGAGAATTTTATTTACAGAATATTCTACAAGGGTATATCAACTTCGGCTCCGCCCGAAGTTTGCCTTCCTTTCTTGTGTTTGCAAAATTTCAGCCTTTATTTTATATAACTAGCTACAATCCAGTTATTCAAAATATTTTCCATCGCTGGCTACAACTTTTTCCCATCTTTCCTGCAGCATGTGAATTCTGCGCCGAAAAAAATGTTCATCTTTGGACGCGATTCATTCATCTATCCAATTTTCGACCTCTTCGTACCTCTGTTCAGCGAGGCTATCCGTCATTAATCGGAACAAGTGGAAATCCAAAGGGGCGATGTCTGGAGAGTAGGGCGGGTGGGGCAGAACGTCCCATTTCTGCGTTTCCCAGTAAGTTTTCACGACCTTGGCAACATGAGGCCAGGCGTTGTCGTGTTGGAGTATCACTTTGTCATGCCTTTCCTTGTACTGTGGCCGTTTTTCCTTCAGCGCTCGGCTCATGCGCATCAACTGGGTCCGGTAGAGTGCTCCGGTGATCGTTCTTGTTGTGTCTGGGAAGAATCTTCATCCAGCAGAGCAGCCAAATCCGCGTCTTCAAACTTTTTCACGGGACCCGGTCGATCCTTGTCTTCCACGTCCAAATCGCCATTTTTAAACTTCGCAAACCATTCTCGACACGATCTTTAACTGATACACGACTTACTTACGCGCTTCAGCTGCCGTTTTTTTCGAATTGAACGGGAAATGTAAAATCTCCCGCAAATGACGCTTATTCGGTTCGTGTTTCGCCATTTTTGCGCACCAAGAAATTTATAGACAATAAGAATACACGAACGAGACAATTTAGAGTTGTTGACCGATACTTTAGCTTGCCATGTGGCGTTGCCGATCAAAATTTCTCACCGATTTGCGAAGATGGCACACTCTGTCAAAAGCGGCGGTTTCCTACTTGTAATTGATATTTACATTATTAGCTGAAAATTGGAAGTAAATTTGTTTCCCGGCCCCTACCTATATTTTCATATCTCCTCTCGAATCGTGTCGTACAGTACATGGCTGGGCCCCTTGGTTGCTTAGTCGGTAGGGGTGGGCATTGGTACTGTGTGCGAAAAAAAACAATAAATACGACTCTAAACAATACAATTCGTTGTGAAATATGAGCCTTTTGTTTGTCGCCGATCAGATTCCAAAACTTTTATAACTAGTTACATCCCGCTCTAAAATGCCATAAATAAAATAAAACGGGAAAATAACTTTAAAACATTTTAAATCTATCTCTTAAACTAGATTCCCCATTAATCTAGGACAAATGTCCTACCATTTCGAATACTGCATGACACCTAAGTGAAGATGTTATTGGCAAACATGAAGTCGTTTTTAAGTGAAAAAAATAAATTTATCAGCTATATATTTTTATACACTGATAATTTAAAATCACTGCTTACGCATTATCAACCCAGATTTCATCGTATGCCCCTTTCCTGCCCACCACTTAGTTTTTAGCCCACCTTCAGTTTAAATTATTTTCTAATTTTTTTGGAATCGCAACAGAATCTTTTGACCATAATAAATCGTTTGTCTTCCCCTTAAAAATGCATTTGCCCACCGCTTAAAAAGTATTAATTAAAAAAGAAAACTTTGTATTTTTTTATTTCTATTTTTAAGAGCAAACGTTTTTTGTTAAAATAAACCATTTTTATAAGAAAGGCAATCGATTTTTTTGTTAATTACAGTTTAATACAACTTATATAAAAAACTGTAGTAATTCTGCAACAACAACACAATGTCCTTTGAGCATATCCTTAATTAATGTATAGCGTTCCAGAACTGTAAAACGCAAATACCCATTAGCAACCTTCTTAATGTCCTTTCCAACCCAAAATTCCATCAACGCTTAAACAATCTTGAATTCATAATTCACCAATCATAAAACACACAAATCTATAACTTATTGATGACGATTTATACTATTAATTATAGATGAAAAATACGCATAATATGAATGGAGTACCAATAAACCTAAAGCACGGCATGAGAAACACATACAATTAGTTATTAAAATAAATATTCGTAAATAAATAAGAATAAAATGCAATTGAATAAATAAATCTTTAAATTACACAATATAGATTGGGGAATTATAGAATGTAACCTTAATACGAAAATGTTATTATTGTTACGACTCGAAAATGAATGAAGTCAACCAAAGCTGCTGTCCTTAGCTTTAATTAAAAGTTATACTTAAGCTTATACTCAGTTAATAAATAAATAAATAACTTCGTATTTTTCGTAATATTTCAATTTATTTAAATGTGCAATATCCCTTAGTTGGTTATTGGCCATAATTATTTTACATTTATTTATATATATATATAAGGATTTTATTTTTGCTAAGTCTAATTTCATGTTCTTACATCGTTACGAGTATCAATGTGAAAAAATCAATTATAAAACATTCGGCTTGCATAAACAAAGACTTTATCAATGCGCATTGCAGATGCATACATGTCCATTTTTATCGATGCATTTGTATATAGATATGCATTAGATAAAACTAACTGAAACATCAAGCCAGAGACGCAACCAACGAGACAACAGTAACAGTGAGGCATAACATGCAACATAAATTTGGTCGTTTGACCTGCGGCAAAGTTGATTTTTCATTTTCACGATTACTAAACGTGCTATCAGGAATGTTACCCCATAAGGAAAAAAGGAAATTGAGAAAAAGAGGTAGGAGGGTATAAAAAACGTTCCTGCATAAAGGGCAGTCATATTAAATCTTGACAGTGGACAGATTTTCAGATATGACCGGCCTTATAACGATTTTAAATACCCTTTAGTATGAGACAGTATCCGAAAATGCGCCGAAATATTGAAAAGGCTAAATAGCAAAATATTTTTCTAATTTTATTTAAGCCCTCACATGGGTTTCAATAACGCATTATCAGACTTGGAACGATCGTGTAAATTTGTAGATATTCGATGCTTTTAGCCATAATTGCGTGTATGTGGAATAGTAGTTAATTGTTACTGTATTTATGATGATATATGGAGTCTTGGTCAGAACGGGCTCTGGCAAAATTTGGTTTGTATGATTGAAAATACTCAATTACATAATCATAATTGGCAGGCCATGTTGCAACAACGATCGGTTTCAATGCTAGGGGAAGGATGGTCGTTTTCTTCCTGAAGAAAGATAATATTGATGACAATCTTGCTAAACAAGAATATTGATTAATCAAATCTTTTAAAAGCTGAGTTAAACTTAATTTATTTGCCATATTAAAGGGTATTTCAAAGCCAAAGCGTGAAAAAAGTCAACATATCTGCGACAACGATTTCGATACCGCAGAAAGGGGAGTGATTTGTAAGCAAGGGCATGGGAATGAGGATGGGAATGGCGATGGGAATGGAGGTCCTTGCCAGGTTGAAATAACATGGGGAATTTTTAGAAAAGCGACGACAAAACGTCGAATGAAAGATAAATACAGAGCGCCGCACAGGCAGTCAAAAAGAAAAAACCCTGCCAAAAAGATGAAATAAAACGGGAATAAAAATGTTAGAAAATGGAACGAAAGTAAAGCGAGCGCGACGCATTGCTGGCGATAAATCAAGGTGTGGGAACGTGGGCGGCGGCAGCGGAGCGCCAATGAAGGGCGCGGATTGTACATTTATATATATTACATGGCTCCTGCGAACGGCCGCATCTGCAGTTGCTGCCCGGGCGAGCTGGCAAGTTCACTCCATTTTTCCATTTTTCCACTTTTCCATTTCGCTCCGCAGTGAATCTGAATACTTTTCGGGTCGCATTGGTGTACAAATATTTTTGCAGGTTAGGTGCTACTGAATCGATTTTGATTACTTTTCGGGACCGGTTCACTTGTCCACCTGCGCCGGCTCCATAGTGTACATGTCACGCAGCAGCCGCGCAATGGGCACGTTGCCGATGGTTTCCTTGAAGAAGAGCGCCTCGATGGTGGCGGCCCGGATGGTTCGGAGCGACGGCAGCAGGAGCAGCAGCCTTCCGAAGCGGGTCGCCTGGCGGGGGTAGCGCAGACGCACGTGGTCGGACAGGATGCACTGCGCCTGGTCCTGCAGCATCTCCACCGGCTGCACGTCGCACAGGCCGGCGGTCTCCGGGGCAAACAGGGCGATCGCCTTCATGCAGCCCACCTCGCTGCCATCGGGGGTGATCTGGCGGAAGCGGCACAGGATCTCCTGGATCGTCTTCATCTCCGTCTGCGTGGCTTCGTCCTGCAGCACCCTCTCCCGTATGAGGGGCGATTCCAGGATGGGCGTCAGGTCCAGGGGAATAGTCCACTGTGCAAGGTTGAGCAGGAAGAGCTCCTTCCAAGACTCCTAAAAAAGAAATAAATAGGATATTAGCTAAGTTATGATATGTTAAGGGAAACTAATTTTAAAACAACAATGCAGTATTTTAAATTCAAGATTTAACTGGTCTTTCGAATATTCAAATTTTGGTTTATTTGCGCATACAAACAGCAACAAAATTGCTGGTGCATGCCCACAAACAAACAATAATTTTCATTTTTAAAAAGCTCAAATCGCGGGTTTAGTATCTTTGAATTATTTTAATTGTGTTATAAAAAAAATTAGTTTTACTAGTATTGGAAAAACCTGCTAAGCTTTCTACGCCCATAGCTTATTAAGCTAAAGACTTGTCATATATGTCGTTAAGGAGGTATTTTAAAATGCCTATCACGCTGCCTTCACTTAATTTGCCTAAAAACAATAGTTGGAAAATTTTGCTGGCCACTTTTGGTTGACATCTCGAATTTTGATTTTTAGTTTTTGAGTTTTTGTTCAAAAATATGCAGCAGGAAGAAGAAGGAGTTTCCGATCCTATAAAGTGTATATAGATATTCTTATTCAGGATCAGTAGCCGAGTTTTTATAGCCATGTCCGCCTCTCTGTCCGTTTGTCCGTCCGTATAAAAGAGCTAGATTTAGCATGTAGACTCTAGTTACCCTTAATAAGCGGAAATTTATTTTAAGTGGCCACGCCCATATATTGCGAAATTCTGTAGTGACTGGTAAAGACTTGTTATTAGGAGTTATAAAAACATATTCGGTTAATATCCACCGACACACCAACAAGCAAATTATAGTGTTCATTATAACGTCACTGTATACATGCATATATTAATGAGAGCAAAAGACTTTTAGGCATCTTTTTTATTTTTAATTTAAAAAAAAACATCTATCAAAACACACAATTTTTCAAATCAGAAATTATTTTCGAAGTTTTCAATAGACTTTATTAACTTTATTTGATGGTCGTGGCACTCGACTATAGCGTTCCTTAATTCTTTTTTTTAATTGCTATTTTAGTTCGTTAGACTAACAAAAAGCTAGCATATCCTTACTGGTTACTGGAGTTGATCTTTTCATATATATGTGAAGCAAGTTGGAAAACAGTTTCCCAATCCTTAATCTTAACAGGAATTAAAACGTGCAAAACAGATGGCCCAATAGCTTGGCGCCTAGCCTCACCTGGAGCAGCAAGTGCTGGTCGTTCTTGGAGAGCGTCTGGAAAGGCATGAGGCACTTGACCCAGCGCACCGCCATGAAGAGCAGGCGCGCCGTCGTCTCCTGCAGCATCTCCCAGGAGAGCAGTCGCGAGTCCAGCAGCTGCTGCGGGAAGAGCAGTGTGTTGTGCTGCACCTGGTACTGGATGAGCTCCTGGCACTTGTCCGGGCTCAGCAGCAGCTCCAGGAATCCGCTGGAGCTCGTGCCCGTGGGGCAGGAGGCACCTCCCCCCGGCCGAAGGGGCGGTGGCGTGGGCGTGGTGGGCGTCGGCGATCCGGATGTGTAGCTCGACTGCTTGTGCTCCCCATTGTTGTTGTTGTTGCTGGTGCGGATCAGCAGGGAGGCGTGACTGGGGGGCGTGGTGGCCTCGCTGAGACTGTGCCGCGACATCTGGCGGGGCTGTGGAGATCCCGAAGAGGTGGTCAGCGTGGGAGCCGGCGAAATGCTGCCGGCACTCAAGGCCGGCGAGGCCGACGGCGAAGGCGTCTCCGTATCCACGTTCACCCGCGGACTCTCGCTGCCCAGGCTGAGTCCCTCCTCGCCGCCGACACTGCGCGATCCTATGCTCGAGATCGACTGAATGGAGTTGCTGGGCGAAGGCGAGTAGTTGTGGTTGTTGCTGCCGGGCGATGCCGCCTGTGCCGCCGAAGAGAACGGCGTGGTGGTGGACGAGACCACGGCCGCCACGGCTGTGGCCGTAATCCCCGGCAGCTTGCTGGCCGCCTCCGCTATCAGGTTGTGGTGCAGCAAGTGCGAGGAGAAGGGCATCGAGGGACCGCCCACCACGGATCCGCCGCTCGAGATCGAGCTTCCGTTTCCGCCCGAACTGCTGGCCAGGGCGGCATGTGGGGTCGGCAGTGAGTGTCCGGGATGTCCCGCTGGACCAGGATGCTGGAACGCCGGGCCGTGATGTCCAGCACCGGCGTGGTGCAGATGGCCAGTGGGCGGGGCTGGCCCCTGGAAGCCACCTGGCGGAGCGGGCGGCGCGGGCGGATGGGTGGAGATGTGCTGCGTGTAGTTAAACGAGGCCGAGACGTTCGTCACCAGGGAGACGGGCAGGTGGCCGCCATGGTGGTGGTGGTGCAGGCCAGCGGCAGCCGCTGCGGCGGCGGCAGCGTGGTGGGCGGCCGCTGCGTGGGCGTGGGCATGGTGGTGGTGGTGGTGGTGATGGTGGGCGGCTGCTGCGTGGTGGGCAGCCGCGGCTGCGGCCGCAGCATGGTGGTGGTGATGGTGCAGTTGCGGATGCAGCTTTGGTTTCCTTGGACCTCGCTCGTGCTGAACAGCTGGGGAGGAAAGGGGAAGAATTGACTATTGAAAACATTTAGAAGTCTTGTTTACAGCCCTATCGATTTGGGAAATGTATAAACTTTTGGAAAAATTTGATCGAGTCGAACACAATCCTAAATTTCGGTTTTGTCAAGGTTTTTTATACCAAGTATGCATGTTTTTCCCTTCGGTTGATCATTAGAATTCACTTCATAGGTACAAAAAATTGAAAATGAGAGAAGTATATATCCTCTCATAACAAAAAAAAAATGAAAAACTCCATCTATAATCCATAAACCCACCTTGCGCATTAATAAGTTCGCCTGGACATATACGTTATATTTGCAAAAACGTATTTATTTAGAAAAAATAAATAACGATTTGCACGGACCATGAGGTGTTTGCTCATACTTATTTTAACAGACATCTCCGTGTTTTAATATCATTGCATCTACGGGCCAACCTAGTTTGCATAAAATCACTTCAAGTGTGTAATTGCGATAATCTGCCTTTAAGTAGTTAAATAAATAAAGTTAATTTCAAAGATACTCTCGCTCGGCTTTCTTCTCTTCTGCACAATCTTTCCCTTTTAAAACTTTTCGGAAAAGGTTTTGTGGTACGGTCCCAAAGGTTGGTCTTTCCCCGACTTTCGAAAGAAGTGAGGGACAGGAGGGAAGAAACAATAAACCGATTATTAGAACGCTAGAGATGCAAAGATACGAGCTATAAAGATACAGAGTAGCGGATAGATGAACTGTCCTCGGGCGTGTGAACTGTTGCATATGCCTTAAGCTAAACCTGAATGGAATAATGGGGGTTGAGGTTGCGGGGCTCACCATGTGTGTGTGGCTGTCATGACTTTTATTTGTTTGTAATTAAATGTATCTGTAGCTGCTCTGCCTATCTTGTAGATTGCATGACGTAGCGCAAAAGGGGTGACATTTTAATCCCCAGCTAATCGCATATGCGAGTGCGTCTCTCTGTAAAATGACTACAGTCACTTGAGGGGCTTTTGCCCCCAACTCTAGCTTCTTTCCGCTTCACGTTTAATAAAACTAGAAAAAAGTTTCCATCTAGAGCGGAAAAAAGTCTCAAAGCTTTCAAAAGATCACAATTTTCAATTAAAGAAAATGCCAAACTCATCAAATTTTTATGCTGCGGGTTTAACAAACTTCAGGTCCCAATTTCCAGCGGGACTTAAAAATTGTGGTTCTGCAAAATACGAAAGAAAAGTTGAAAACCCCCCTGCGGAACTCAAACTTCAAGTTAACCCTTTGCCTTTGACTCCGAATGCGTCTTTCTCCTTCAAACATAAAACGCGTGAAAAAGGCAACAAAATTAGCTGCCATGGCAGGAAAACTTATAATATTTGTATATTCCCATCCTCCTTGATTTAAGCACTCCACTTTACTTTGAGAATATGCCATTTTTTCTTGAAAAAAAACTTTGGCTGAAGGACAACCAAAAGCAAAAGTAGAAAAGTAAGTTGATGAGTAAAAAAGTAACGACTGATTTACTTACTGAAAAGTTATGAAAGATGGAAAATGCACAAGTCGTGTCTGCCTTATATACAAAACAAGAAAATAGCTGCAGGCGTTTTAAATGAACCCAATTGTATTAAGTAAAAAAAGTTAACTCTGCTAATGCAGAGTCGTTGGTGAAGTAAGTGTGTTTCAATACAAAGAATAAATTTATCTTTTAATTCTTCATAAAAGCGTAAAATTGTATTTGACATTTGTGAGAATAAACTATTTAACTGAAAATATAGAATTCAGATTCCACATTCTTAATTTGTGTGGGTTTTTCAATTCACCTTGAGATATAATCATTTACAACAAAGTTGTTTTTGTTAAAAAACAACTACTACCCGCTTTTTTGGGATCTTTAAAATACACCTTATTATACACGAAACAAGGTCCATCTTTATGTGGCATGTTAAATAATGTTTACAAAAAAATATATATATTTAGAAATTTGGTAATAGCCTTATAAAAATTAGACGACTAAATCATATAACATCATAAACAAGAAAATAAGCAATCGTAGGCAAGCCAAAGTGAACTCTTCAGCTGTACAAAATAAATTTTCTATGTTTCGATTTCGATGCTTAAAAACAATGAAGCTACTTTATATAGTCGTCCGATTTTTATTAAAGTAAGGTATGAAATCTTCAAAAATTATAATATTTTGGAAACAATGTAGTTATAATTAAAATTTGCTTTTTCCTGATTGTTCTTATGGCAGCTATTTGATACAGTCGTCCCATTTTTATAAAACCAAAACCGTTTTTCTGAAATTGCTAAAAATACTATATCTCGGGGTAAATGGATATATACTAGGAAACAACGAATTCATAACTTTATTTCCTTTTTTTCCAGATTATTCTTATGGCCGATCCGGTCCTTTCCGACTGACGTACTTTATGCAACAAAAAGAATACATTTTGCAAAGTTTCATCCACATAGCTTTGAAACTAAAGGACTAGTTTGCCTAAAAACGGACGGACAGACTTTAAATGAGTAAAAATTATTCTAAATGAATTTCGGAATTCGCTTTGCTTAGTAATTTTTTATGATTAAATTTAATGAAAATCGGGTGACTATGTTATATATACATAGCTGCCATAGGAACTATTGTTAAAAATCGGTATAACATCGTTATTTTTCAATAAATGTTTATACAAATAGCAACTGGTTAAGTAATTACATAAATCAAGGAAGATTATTAATTAATTAATCAGTATTTTCACTTTCTTGCTTTATGTAATTTATGAGTGGAGTTTGCTTATCACTTTGTTCGAATCTTATTCCGTCCCTATTTGAGTATTGTTTTGCTTTTCAAAGGCCACTCGACTATGAAAAACTCGCTTACTTCTAGATTTTCAAAATTTTTGTTTCCAAATAAAGCTTTATTATATCTTATTCTTTGTTGGAATAATATGATTGAAACTGTTCAATATAAATATTCAGGTTGAGCCGCATAATAAGAATGTATTCGCGAGTCACCCCGGCCACAGCTAACTACTTGACAAGTGCTCAATTCATATTCCATTGTTTGGCCGACAATACCGTGGGTGACTGAGTACTCGAGCAGCCCCTGAGCCGACATAATGTTTCCATTATGGACTATTAAGCACTCCATTACTAGTCCGTGCAACCCCGACCGAACCAGAATGCAGGGTGTACGCAAACACCCCCCCCGCTTACATGATTTCGGAGCACATCGAATCACTTCAAGTGTTTTCCTAATTTCACGGTTTATATATCTTTTTATTTTATTTTCGGTTTCGGTTTCGCTTTTCGCCCTCCTCTCACAATTTGCAAGCGTTGCCTTATTTACTTTTAATTTGCCTGCCAAACAATCGCATTTTGATATATTCCTTTTTGGTGAGTTTTGATTACGACATTATCTGGATGGCCCCGCATGTAAAGCGAGGGCCCGCTCATTACCGTCGGCAGATTTATTTATTTCGATTTCTGGGGCACGCGTTGCGCTTTTCAGCTTATGGGCGGCAGGGTTTCCTTGCCAGTTCTGGCCAGGCAGATAGCTGCTCGCCAACTCGATGATGATGGCCATCATTTGGGATCTTGCGTGCGGTATCGTCGTGAAGTCGTCGTGGTCGTGGACGTGGTCGTGTCATGCTGTGGGAACGGAACAGCTGCGTGGCAGCTCGCTTTCCCACTGCCACTTATCATTAATTTTTCCGTCGCGTTTTTCTTTGCCCATTCTGGCATCCGGACACAGCATCGCGCCTTTGTCTGCGTCTGTCTCCCCTCAGCTTTTGCCCCTCAACACCCCATGAATGCATGTATTTTGACATAATTGGTTTTGCTTTTACGGAAGCCGTGGTCCACTTCCCTTTCCGCTACCCTAATTAATTGATTAACTTCAGCAAATCGGTCAATATGTTGCTCTGTTTCTCTTTTTCGATTTGTTTCGCTTTCCTGCGGGGGCGGTGGTGTTTTGTGAGGAGGGTGTGATCCTCGTAATGAGTTGCTAATTAGATTTGTAGATTGTAATTTTTTTGCTCTCTCTTTTCACCAGCGGACGTTACTTTTTGTTCCACAGTTTAGAAAAGCCTGAGAGATATTCCAGGTGTTTGTTTGCGGCGAAGAAAGAGGTTGTGACAGTTGAAGGGTGAAAGGTGAAGGGGAAACTCCTGGATTTCTGGATAAGAGTTTATAAGTCAAGTGTTAATTAGATTTTATATTCATGTCAAGTAAACAAGAAAAACCTAAACCAATACATTTTTAAAAATTTATATGGGATAATTAAAACTTAAACTAATACATTTTTACAAATGTATATGGTTTAATTTTTTGTAGTTATTAAGTCATACTTTATACCGGAAGTAATGAGCCAACTACATTAGCCGCCAAATTACAAATCTGCTTGGATGGTCCGGTACAAAAATTATTTCTTAAAGATCACAGGCTACCGTTACCGGTGGAAACGCAAAAGTGAAAGTTTGGAAAATTGGAACTGTTAGGGTGGGTTAAAGCCTTAAATTCGTTTCACCTTAAATTTAACCAGTTGTTAAAATTTAAGAGCCACCTCCCCAAATTGCACCTTAAAAAATACACGCATAAAAAACGAATTAATTTTATCGCTTATACTTGAAGATGAAACCAAGCCAACAAGCTTTAAGCACTGCGACCCCAAAACAGATTTGATTTTAGATTGAAATTCGGATAGAAGGGATTTCTGTGTCACTCTTGTATAAGTCGAATTAGTTTAATTTGAAAGTAGAACGTATAAATACAAATGCAATCGATTATACACTTGAAGTCTCCATAACTCAAACATAATTTGGTGGTAGAAAAAAGTTTTTTTTTCTTGTCTAACTTGGGTATTTCGTATAAAGATACAAATAACATTCAACCTTGACTCTATAGTATAGAGTTCGCTCTATACTTGTTTATAACTGAATAGTTTGACCAGCAATAGATTGTTGATACTCCCATAAATTCGTTGTGTTGTTAAACTCTTGGGGCATTTCATGCAAGTTTAACGCCTG